TGATGTTTGTCGTAGATCTGATGTGTCTGTTGGATGATTTCCCCTCACCTCTTGTTCTGGTGAGAACTCTGACATTTGGAATTTCCCCTTACTTTCAGGAACACCGCATAGTTTCCAAATGTCCATTTTTTGGAACCAAATCCCTCTGTCTCTTTTTCTTTTTCTTTTTAGCCTGATGTAAAGATCTATAAAAAATGTATTATTTAAAGTGGTTCTAAAGGTTAGACATATTTTACCTTAATGGTATTGCCCCCTCATTCCCCCCTTATACTTACCTGAGTCCTATCTCAATCCAGCAATGTGCATGTCTCTTGCAGCTCTCTCCCCTCTCTCGGTTCTTACAGGCTTTACTGAGGCAACAGGAGACATTGGCTCCTGCTGCTGTCAATCAAATCCTATGAGGAGGGAGTGGGGGGGGGGGGGTGGGAATTTGGGAGTGAGCTCTCAGGAAGCAGTTTTCTATGGGGGTGCACCGAGAGGAAGATTAGCCTGGAGCGCCGGCAGGGGACACGAGAAGAGGAGGAACAGGGCTGCTCTGTACAAAGCTTCCCACAGGGCAGGTAACTATAACAAGTTTGTTTAAAAATGCTAAAACATATAGAGCCTTTACAACCGCTTTCACTATCAAAAGTGTTTTACTGCACCAAACCTCTTATCTAATCCTTAAATTATTCAATTTGTTACTTTGAAAAGCCAAAATGTAGGAAGTGCAGTGCAACAAAAAAAGCTATTTTTGGTAAAACAATAATTTTTTGTGCATTACCCTCATGGCCCACAGGGAATGCAGGCATTGTCCTTTGCCTACATATTTTATGCTATATGTCCCACTTTCCCAACTCACAAAAGTGGGAGGTATGACAATGGTCACCAGGACAAACAGCTCCCCAACGGTGACACAGACAGCAATAAAAACGTGACAGAAGATCTCATTTTTTTTTCTAAAACAAAAAAAAGCTACACTTTAAAGCCCAACTCTTGGAAACTTAAAGTGCAGACACAGCCCACTGCAGGGGTTAATTGCTCATTTAGTTTAGGGAAGAGTTTTTGCACTTTAACTTACCAGATCCTCCACTATCCCTGCAGATGGTGCTCCCCCATGCCCTGGCAGTGGATTGTCCCTCAGTGTCCTCACATCTAATGCAGGGCTGTAAACCCTGCATCTGTCTTGATAATTTCAGGACCTTAGACTGCTGAAGCATGGGGGAGAAGATATTGTAGGGTCTGGCAGCACAGAGAAGCAAAGGATTCGGTAAGTAGATCTTCTTTTCTTTGCCACCTGGACTCAAAAGAACAATTCGTCCTTGTAGTGTAGGTGCAGCCCCACTGCAAGGGATCATCTTAAGTTTTCCAGAGTTGGACTTAAAATAATCAAGAAAATTACAGATTGTGAATTATGTGCACCAACAGGACTGCAGAGATAGGTGTCGGGAGCTGATCATTGTTTGTCACTACCAAATATGTGTACACTATAGTAATATTCGCATTACTTTGCCCCAAATGTTGTGCAATGAACACACTGCAGTATGGCCTGTAAGAGATGTTTCCTCCACAGACAACATTACAGTGCATACTGTCACAATGTTCTTATAATTATTTTCATGTGAATGCTATGTCTCTGAAGAGACTTGTGTAGGATCAGGTCCAAGTATTAGTGAAATGTTTTATTGTTTGGTCTGATTTCTCTCAGCCAAGTATCTGAAAATCTCCATTCATTGTAATCAATCTTCAGCCACGAGGAGGAGCTGTGTCACTCCGAGAACTCCTAATCTACAACAGCTGTTGAGGTATTGCTCAAAGTCCCCTAAAGAACAAGTTCTTGTTTAACCTAAAACTCACAGGCCACCCTCCCCAGCCAGCTAACCTAATGAAACTTAGGGCCCCAATCACCCAAATGCTTAATGACTACTCCCGGACAGGCTGCCTTCTCCGGTGATTTTACCCTTAGGCCCTAAACTGTCTCCTCCACTGGCCTCACCTACACTGTAAGTTCTCCTAGGCTTGTATGGTACCATGCTCCATCACTAGCGACAAAAAAGGCACAGTCTCATTCAAGTCTATGGGGGAGTTACTGCACAGGCACGTCCAGAGCCAAAAAAGATTTGGGGCCAAGAAGGGAAGAGAGAAGAAGGCTGCTGTCATAGAAAGTTAAGCATCTCGGTGGGGCTGGTTCTAGATTGGATTGGGTAACGGGGTCAAGTAGGGTGAGCTAGTGGGTTTTTGAAAATAAAATTGTCTTTTAAAGCCAAAAAACAATCACAATATTCTTTTTTGTTTTGGATAGAATTGAAAGGTATAGATGGAGTGGGCCTTTTATATTGTAGAAAGGGATAGATCCTCTGGTGGGCTTTTATCATTGTGGAAAGGGGTGGATCCTCTGGTGGGCTTCTATTTGTGTGGAAAGGGATGGATTCTCTGGTGGGCTTTTAGTAGTGTGGAAAGGGATGGATCCTCTGGTGGGCTTTTATTTATTTATTCATTTATTTTAGGTACTTATATAGCGCCGTCAATTTACGCAGCGCTTTACATATATATTGTACATTCACATCAGTCACTAACCCTCAAGGGGTGTACAATCTAAGGTCCCTTCATACATTCATACATACACATATTAGGGCCAATTTAGACAGGATCCAAATAACCTACCAGCATGTCTTTGGAGTGCTAGAGGAAACCGGAGTAACTGGAGGAAACCCACGCAGGCACAGGGAGAACATGCAAACTCCAGGCAGGTGGTGCCATGGCTGGGATTTGAACTAACGACCCTAGTACTGCTTTTATCATTATTTAAAAGGATGGATCCTCTGGTGGGCTTTTATCGTTGTGGAAAGAAATGGATCCTCTGCTTGGCTTTTATCATTGTGGAAAGGGATGGATCATCTGGTGGGCTTTTATAATTGTGGAAAGGGATGGATCATCTGGTGGGCTTTTATAATTGCGGAAAGGGATGGATCATCTGGTGGGCTTTTATAATTGTGGAAAGGGATGGATCATCTGGTGGGCTTTTATAATTGTGGAAAGGGATGGATCCTCTGGTGGACTTTTATAATTGTGGAAAGGGATGGATCATCTGGTGGACTTTTATCACTGTGGAATGGAATGGATGCTCTGGTGGGCTTTGATAACTGTGAAAGGGGATAGATCCTCTTGTGGGCTTTGATAGTTGTGGAAAGAGAGAGATCCTCTGGTGTGCTTTGATCACTGCAGAAAAGGGATGGATCCTCTGGTGGGCTTTGGTCACTGTGAAAGGGGATGAAACCTCTTGTGGGTTTTGATTGCTGTGTAAAGAGATAGATCCTCTGGTGCGCGTTTCTGCCAATCTTCCAATAGAGAGATTTTAACTCATTTCCTTTCACTGAGACTGAAAGTGAAGGTACGCCTTAACGGGGATACAGATATGGATAAAATACTGAAAAAGGTTCTAAACTTTCCAAATGCAAACAAAAGCACACTGGTGATAGTGCTCAAAGTCAACTGTATTCCAATAAGAGAAAGGCTCAGGACAGGTGTATTTATGGAAAAGAGCTCCTGTATCAGAGTCAGAGTGGGGGCATCACACTCAATTCACTATCCAGTTAACTCCTGCAACTCAACCTCAAAAAAAATGGCAATCAGGGGAAGCAACAAACAGCAGGATCAAAGTGCAATGCATGCATTATCTGCTGACATTAAAGACATCTGAAGAGCCTGCCCCTAGGCATGGGGTCCTCAGACATCTTATCTGTCAGTAGATGGTGCATAGCTCAGATTTTGTTGTTAGGGAAGTATAATAAAAATCCTGATTTGTACACTCCTGGGGTGCTCACAGAGATAAAGTGACCACTGGGTGCCAGCTTTTAATTGGTAACTTTAGCACGAAGTTGAAGCTAAACATTATTCAAATGTGTGAAACGTATTTATGAACTGTTCATATACTACTGTATTATGCGCACCCTTGATGCGCTGCATAGCTAGGAAGATGACTATTCTATTCCTGGTTTAACTTTACAGCTTCATCTATCCTACCTGTCCACAGGGCAATTTATTTGTTTTTTGATGGTGCCAATTTATTGTCCAATGAGCAGGCAGAAGGAGGAGACACAGTGACACAGGAAGCTGCAAAGCTGAACAAGGAAAGAGGGTTGTCACATGCCTATGTAGTGTGACACAGCATGTGTTTACGGACCCAACCAGAATTAGAAATCCATTGATAAATATAACAGTTTCACACATGTAGTTCAACTCTTTATGAAGCTGAAGTTTTTTTTTATGGATTCGTTAACTGCCACCAATAAACGCATTTTACCACCGCTGCTCTAGGAGGTCACATTGTAGAAGAGATGCTAAAGGCAGGGTTCTTTCCTTAGTTCTCTGCAGAATCATTCTAGTAAACAGTTATGCCTGTCATACCTAAAGCTGGCCATATACTAATAAGGAACAAAATCCAACAGAATCCTCCATCCACAATAAATGGCGTGGATTTATGAATCTTCCACTAAGGCTCCTGTATTCCGACAGCTGTCACCTGTAGCTGTCAGAATACAGTGGGGTCAGCTGATTGGCTGCAGCCATCATTCGGGCAAGAACTATCTGGCCGCCTCGTTCAATTTTCGGATCAAAGGATGCCAGGCGGTAGGCTACCAACAAGGCCACCCAGTGCTCAAAGTTTAGCTGGATCATCAGAAACCAGATCAAATTTGAGCAGTATATGGCCAGCTTAACTCTGCTACAACCAAATTCTCTAGGGCTGCTATGGTAACAAGCAAACATCTGGTCAATATGAAGGTCAATATGGATTTCTATCTTTTGAACCTAAGAAGCATTACTAAAGTTTGGATATTTTTAAATCAAAAAGCCAATGTGCTATTTTGATGGAGAATGATTACCAGTCTAAAAAAGCTTTCAATAAAACCCATAAAAACAATGTATCAAATAATCTGATCACCTAAGAAAAAAAATACATCTCATTTTACCACAGTTAATAGGTAATATGCAGTTAAATGTAAATTACTGTAGGCTCTTACCCTTTCGCCTGGATCTCCAGGTGGTCCAGGAGTTCCTGAAGGTCCAGCCGGTCCTGGTTCTCCCTAGACAGGACACATAAAATGTAATGTAGTTTACAAAATGACATATGCTAATTATGCAAAACATATGTAGAAAGCCAATAACAAATGCACAGAACAAGAAAAATTACTGTCCTTTACCATGTATCACAGGAATGCCAATATTTTAGTTTCAGTTGTGTTCTGAGAGAGCGTTGCCTGTCTGAGCACCAGTCTTGACTTAGTATTCATGGCTTGCTATATTGGCCCTACATAGTTAGGGGCTGGAAGAAAGACTTTTCTGCTAGAGTTGCCAACAGGGCAAGTCTTTTTAAACTTTTAAGATTATGAGCACTGCCCAAGAAAAGGCTTTAAAAGGACTTTATTAGCCAAAAAGCTCTACTTCGGGATATTGTCAACTTTGGCTTTAAGTCTTGGCCTGCAAATAAACCATGGGCAAACCCTTGCTTATTGTGGTATGGAAGTATCTACATTGATTGGTGAGTTCTCCATATATTTCTACAGACGATCCACTGAGAGAGCTCATAAAATTAATTTCAGTGTGTCTTAATGGAGGCTACACTAACTGCTGAAACATACTTTTGTGGCTCAGTTAAGGGGTGCTTTAATGTATACTCCTGAATTATGAGTCTGCTGAAAAATTTTGCATTTAGCAGCACAGTATGAAACGTAATACATTGAATACATAGATAAAAATGCTTGGAATACCCCCTCCTAATACAAAAGGATTTTAAAAAATATTTAGAATCACAGTCCCACAACCTGTTATACATACCGAGTGCCCAGGGAATCCTATCGGACCCTCAATCACGGTGCCCTGAAACAAGCATGAAATAATTTTCACCAAGACTTAATTTAGGACTGTACCATCAGAAATGTAGACATCATGATGCAATTGGAGAAATTCTACTCACAGGCTCCACTATAGCGGGCTCTCCTTTCTCTCCCTTCAAGCTCTAAGCACAAACAGTAAAAATAGTAAATTAGACTTAAAAGCAAACACACCCACATGCTATACTCTAACCAGCATGCAACATTTTCTAAAAGGTAATACTTTAGATTTGGATTTTTACTTATTAGTTTTGAATAATGGGTGGTAAAATTCAATTCCAGTAACTGTAACACAAACTAGTGCTTCTAGATGGAGAGCTAATTATGCGGGGATAATCTTCAAAACCTTACATCTGTATTGTGAGGTTTAAACATCATACATACAGGAATACATCTTTTTTTGTTATTGAAATATTATTGAAAGTGTTATTGAAGAGTTTTACTGAAGGTTTGTTTGCTTTGATTAAGCTCGTCAGAGGTTGTACAATTTTAATGTTCCCAAAGTTCTACTCCACAGAAGCCATGGCTTCTATGTTTCACTGTAGAGAATTACAAAAAGTTATAACCCAACAGATTTTGGTGAGGTGGGCAAGAAGAAACCAAAAGGGCCTTCACTGAAACAGTGGAAAAAACACAACGGAACCTTCTTAAAATAGAAGGTATCTACAGGTCTCACTTGTCTTATTTGAAATCCCACTTGGCCCATCTCACCATAGCTTGTTATACTTTTTCATTGCTCTTCAAGCCCTGCTCCATAAAAACTACTTCACACTGTGTACTAATAATGGTCAATAAGCCTGAAACAGATGCAGTTTGGAATATGTAACTCTATAATATTAGACTGAATATGTGCTATAAACTAAGAGTTGGCCAATGTTTAGAAAGGAAGGTTTTTAATGGATCTACCTACTATCCTAAAAGAAGGGATAGGCACCTTATTTTTTGTATTGGTGATAGATGAGAGACCTGCAAATACCTTCTGTTTTAAAAAGTCTGCATTTTGCTTCTCTCTGATGAGAGTTAAGAAGGTTGAAAGTGCTGTATGTATGTTAGAAAACTGGCCCTATACTAAGGTTGTGCTTGTACAATAAATTATTAGTTCTGGATGCACAGCTGGCTCTAGCAACAGAAGGAACACTTGGCATGGCTCTACTACTTTATATAACTTATATGTGATAGGAACAATGATATGGATAGTACTTTCTGCTTTGAGAAGGCAATGCTGTACCCTTTCTTCAGAGAAAGACATCTTAGATCAATTGTTAGGTAGGTTTGGAGAACACATGCCCAGTCTTGATTGTATTTCAATGAACTGTCAACAGGTATATAAAATAATGTAGACAAATATAGAGGCTCAGGTTATGAACATTGACCTATCCATCATACTGACAACTTAAATCAAGAATGTCAATATTTACTATGACTTATAGTATACATTATATCTCATTACCTCAGGTTCGGTTTCTTTGGTCTGCACTGTACCACGCTCCTGAGGACCATATCTATTGTCCCCTTCTTCAAAGTCCTCTTCGTCATACTCTCTCATTTCATAGTCATCTGGTTTTTGGTTGTCTTCCTCTTCTCCGGTCACATACTCTTCAGTTATGTCCTATGGGGGACAACATTAATAGAATCATCAAATTGATGTTACATAAGTCACAACATGTATGGATAAATCTGTACATTACCTCATAGTCAGTTGCATTGATGCTGACAGTTACGGTGGACACAGTGATGTCTTCTTCAGGTGGGGGTGTGAAGAAGTAGTCTGGAAATTCATATTCTGAGAAAAGGGGGTCTTCTGTAGGCTTTGTTTTTTTTTCTGTCTTTGGTGATTTAACAAAAAGAATAAGTTATTTTTATTGAGTATGAAAGAATTAAGGCTGAACAGTTTCAGGCAGGAGCTCAGCTGGCAAAACAAGGTGAACTCAGCAACAAGTGATGGGACAGCCAGAGTGGCTGGTCAAAGCATTTGAGATGTCTGCCTGTGCTACATCTGGGTGTATGTAGGTGACCCTGCATTATGTATCTTCTTTAATAAGGACTATGTTTGCAGTGATGTTGACTTCAATACTGTAGTCATCAGAAAAGTTGCAACAATAATTTTCCCCTTGTTTGACAATATTGCACCCTACAAGAGTAACAAAAATGCTTTCTGCTGTAAATCCAGTCTGTCATTTTTACCTGGATTGTCTGGTGTCTAGATCACCTTCGTCTGTTGACTCTGACTTTACCTGAGACTACTTACTGTACCCTCTTTTAGGTGGTCCATATAAACTGGTAATGTTTAGTATAATATAAAACCATAGTTGACTAATACTATGCTAGTATAAAAACTTTATTGTTTCCCCAAGGAAGAAAAGACTTGCCAATGTTCAAGAGCAGTCTTCTCCAAACTGGCCTAGGGGCTGGATGCGGCCATGTGCTTACTTTTATTGGGCTTTGGGGCATTTCCCCCCCCACTGTCAGCAACAGTGGGGCATAGTCCCTGCCACTAGCACTGACAATGGGGCACTATTCCTGTCACTGAAAACAATTATGAGGCACTATTCCTTCCCCTAATACCAAAGATGGGACAATGGGGTTGATTTACTTAAGGCAAATCGACTGTGCACTTTGCAAAATTCAGTTGCGCTCTGCAAGATCAGTTGCTGCAGAGCTTAGTAAATAAGCAGAGGTTCTGCTGACTTCCATCATCCAATCACGTGCAAGTAAAAATGCTGTTTTTTTATTTTCCTTGCACTTGTATGGGTATTCTTTGCAAAGAGAAGCCTTACCTCATTTACTAAGCTCTGAAGCAACTGCACTTGCAGAGTGCAACTACATTTTGCAAAGTGTCAATTTGTTTTTAGTAAATCAACCCCATTGCTCACTCCCACTGACAGCAGGCCATTTTCTACTCCCATTGGCCACAGTCCGGCCCCCAAAAGTGCAAAGAACAGTAACCTGGCACTTTGTTTAGAATATTTTGGAGATCCCTGTTCAAGAATATAAACTGCTAAACACTGATTGCCAGGACAGTTAAAGTGCTGTATATCTAAAGCCAAAACCTTGCTTACTCTATCCAAAACAAAAGCCAAAAAAAAAAATTGATTAGATACACATTAATCTTAGTCCACCACTGGCTTACTTTGAATTGGTCCTTAACCATTTCAAGTCTGGACACTTTTACCCCCTTCCTGTCCAGGCCGATTTTCAGTGCTATCACACTTTGAATGACAATTGCGCGGTCATGCAACACTGTACCTATATTAATTTTTTAGCATTTTTTTGAGACAGATAAAGCTTTATTTTGGTGGTGTTTATTTATAACTGGGATTTTTATTTTTTTTTGCTATGTAAATGAAAAAGTCCAAAAAGTTTGACACAAAAGTGTTTCTCTTATACAATTTTGCAAATAAATAATATTTCATCATAAATCTTGGCCAAAATGTATTGCGTTATCTTTTTAGTAAAAAAAAAAAAAATAATCCAAATTAGTTTATACTAAACGTTTTTGCACTGATTTTTTTTACACTGATTGCTTTTACACCCATAAAGGCTGTAAAAGCAATAATTTCTTCTCTCTGGCTGCATTCTTGCAGCCATTGAGAAATACTGTGTGAGCTTTGATTGGTCACAGCTTGTCACATGGTTCAAGGCTGATGTGAATTGGTCACAGATTTCACATGTAGTAAGCAATGATGTCAGAAGTGACATCTTGCTTACTACTCTGCATGTGATCACTGATTGGCCAATCAGTGATCACATGATCGGGACCTCGCACAGAGGTCTCGTACAACGATCGGTGTTCCACTGTGTCCGGAGGACACAGCGGGCACCGGATCTCGGTGCTGCACGCTCCCAGGGAGCACGCACAAGCAGGGAGCGGGGAGGTCGTTTATGCACTGCCACCGTTCAGCTGTTTACATATGTTCAAAATTAACTGCTTCTGAGCCGTCCTATAGCAGAAATACTGCTACAGGGCAGAACGGGTGCGCAAAATTGCCCGGCGATCTCCTAGTATTACTGATGGGGGGAGAGACCTGTGTATAAACAATACAGATCTCTCCCCTGTCAGCTCCTGCATAGCACAGCCATACAAAGCAGTGTGCTTAGAGTGTAAAGCACTCACATAGCACACAGTTAACCCTTTGATCGCCCCAGATGTTAACCCCTTCCTGCCCAGTGCCATAAGCACTGTGTCAGTGCTTTTCATTAGCATTGATCACTGTATTGGTGTCACTGGGAATGTCAGTGACACCAAATATGTTTCCCCCAGTATCAGAATGCCCCCCGCAGACCTGCAGTCCCACTATAAGTCGCTGATCGCTGCCATTACTAGTTAAAAAAAAAATCCCAGTATATATACCGCCATTTGTAAATACTATAACTTTCATGTAAAACAATTAATTTCCACGTATTGGGATTTTTTTTTTAGTAAAGACATGTCGCAGAATACATTTCGGCCTAAATTTATGAGGAAATTGTATTTGTTTTTTTTTTACTGGACATGGTTAATAGCAAAATGTAAAAAATATAGCTTTTTTTTCCAAAATTTTCAGTTTTTTTTTGTTTACAGCGCAAAAAATAAAAAACGCACAGGAGATCAAATACCACTGAAAGAAAGCTCAATTTGTGGGAAAAAAAGGATGTAAATTTAATTTGGGCGTTGCATGACTGCGCAATTGTCAGTTAAAGTAACGCCGTATTGCAAAAAAATGGCCTGGTCAGGAAGGGGGGTGAATCCTCCGGAGGGCAAGTGGTTAATGGCAATAAATGCAACACATATAGTATGCGTTAACCTGCAATGCAATAAGCACCTGTGTATAGACGTGAATCTGGCCTTAATGAGTCTCAATGCACTAAAAACAGATCTATGTTGCTGTAGCTTATGACAGCGCAACGCATAGAGCATTCACATGTGTGCATTGTAGGCTGTAACGCAGGTGCATTTGCTTATACAGTAACTGTGCACAGTGGATAGCAATGCACAAGAACGCACATATACAGCACAATACTGTACGTTGCGATAATGCTTGTTACTGCAAGCCCACAAGTGTGGAGCCAACCTAAATGACAAAAAGCCTTATATACATAAATTCATAAACTAACATAGAGCTCATAGCCAATGCAGTCAATTATAGTCTGGCTGTCACTTTGCTGGACTAAAATATCAGTGCTAAGTAACTGCCACTGGGCTCGTCACCCTGCATTCACTATATCTGGTCTCCCTGGACACTGAATTCACTATATCTGGTCTCCCCGGACCCTGCATTCACTATATCTGGTCTCCCCGGACCCTGCATTCACTATATCTGGTCTCCCAGGACCCTGCATTCACTATATCTGGTCTCCCCGGACCCTGCATTCCCAATATCTGGTCTCCCTGGACCCTGCATTCACTATATCTGGTCTCCCAGGACCCTGCATTCACTATATCTGGTCTCCCCGGACCCTGCATTCCCAATATCTGGTCTCCCTGGACCCTGCATTCGCTATATCTGGTCTCTCCGGGCCCTGCGTTCACTATATCCGGTCTCCCCGGACCCTGCATTCACTATATCTGGTCTCCCCAGACCCTGCGTTCACTATATCTGGTCTCCCTGGACCCTGCATTCCCTATATCTGGTCTCCCCGGACCCTGCATTCACTATATCTGGTCTCCCCGGACCCTGTGTTCACTATATCCGGTCTCCTTGGATCCTGCATTCACTATATCTGGTCTCCCTGGACCCTGCATTCACTATATATCCGGTCTCCCCGGACCCTGCATTCCCCTATATCCGGTCTCCCTGGACCCAGCATTCACTATATCTGGTCTCCCACAGTACACACAACATGGAAATTCAATTATTTTAGTAAATATAATTTGCTAAATACCTTTTCCCATCAGTGTCCAGCAGAACACTAGTTAAAGCTTGTAGGAGGAGTTTTCATTCTCCCCTGATTGTCCTATGAGGCTGAATAACCCCTGACCCTCTGTCTGGACAGTGCTGAGTGCCCTGTGCTGATCACATGCATTCTCCCATAAAAAAAAAACCCTCTAGCAATACACACCAAATGAGCATGTCCTGTTTCCCCCAGGGCTCTGTTCTATCAGCAGATGGACTGGGGACAGTAGAAGAAGGGGAGGATCAGAGAAGACAGAATTGAATTGCCTTTCTACACAATGCAGAGGATTAACCCCTTAGGTTCCATAGCATGATTTACTGCATATACAGACTGATTTTATTGTTGTGGGTTTAGTAACACTTTAACTTATTTTCCTTAGTTTTTATAAACAGGTCATCTTCTGGTACTAAGGATATATTCCATGGCATTCTTCAGGAATATGTCAGTAAGGGTGTCACTATACTGCTGTGCAATACGAGGAATTACTTGGTATTTGCTATGGTAACATCTGTTCTAATTTTTCCTCATTTAGGAAAAGGTTTACTGCAGTGGAAAATGGTCAGTTGCCAGTTGTTGCAGAGGTGACCAGAGTCTTGTCACAACAGGCTCCTTGCAGAAACGGCCCAGCCCAAGACGAGGGGCACAGATACATCAATGGGTGTCATGAGCGCTGAGATGAAATGACATGGGTTTTAGTTAATGACATGGGAATTCACAAGCTTTTTGGGAGAAGTTAATGCCAGGATGAGAGGGTGGAAAACAGATGTCACATGTTGTGAAAAAGCAAGGTTATGGATGAAACCTGGCAGAGATTGCAATCATAAATCATGAAATGGTCAGCTTGGTCTGGCAACCCCTAATTAACTGTTTGCAGGTGGTTGATTAACACCGAGCTGATTCTAAATAAAAGTGCTGCACTTAATAGTAGTTCATTCTCATTTATTGACTTCTT